ACCCCCCCTGCATCGCTCCGGTTTCTCCCATTGGGAATTCATAGCCGACCTGGTAATGACTTGTGCCAAAGCTCCAGATGTTTGAGCACTCGTGCAAAGTACCCCAAAGCCCAGAGTATTACTTGTGTATGTGTGTGTGTGTGTGTGTGTGTGTGTGTGGAGCAGAAGCCTCTGTCTTGTCCTCTATCAGGATACCCAGGGATCATTGCTAGAATGGATGTGATAATGTCACCTCACCTTCCCCTCCATCTCCAGGGCACATTCTGCTCCCCGTCAAGATAATATCTGAGAACAGGTGCAACTACAGGGCAGGGAATATTCACTGCATGCTGAGGTCTACAGGACAGGGAATATTCACTGCATGCTGAGGTCTACAGGGCAGGGAATATTCACTGTATGCTGAGGTCTACAGGACAGGGAATATTCACTGCATGCTGAGGTCTACAGGGCAGGAAATATTCACTGCATGCTGAGGTCTACAGGACAGGGAATATTCACTGCATGCTGAGGTCTACAGGAGAGGGAATATTCACTGCATGCTGAGGTCTACAGGACAGGGAATATTCACTGTATGCTGAGGTCTACAGGACAGGGAATATTCACTGCATGCTGAGGTCTACAGGAGAGGGAATATTCACGGCATGCTGAGGTCTACAGGAGAGGGAATATTCACGGCATGCTGAGGTCTACATGACAGGGAACATTCACTGCATGATGAGGTCTAGAGGACAGAGAATATTCACTGCATGCTGAGGTATGGCACTGAATTTTATTGTGAAGTAGAAAGTGTGTGACTGAGCGACCGAGAGAGAGCGCCCGGGGCTGTGTGTGTTTGTGTGCGTGACAGACGGACTCTGCTGACATATCTGGATTCAGCACACAGCCTCCAGGCTTTTTTTCAAAAGAGGCATAGGGCAGAGACGAGGTTTGGGATGAATGATTTATCATCCTTCATATGTGTACCGAGATGAGAAACCCGAAAGACTAAATAAGTAGGGGGGTGCCAGTGCCGTACCTCTTTGAGAGCATTCAGCAGCTTCGGCCGCTTGTCCTCCACACTCTCCCTGGACTGCTGTTTTAGCTTCCTCAGTAGCGCCGTGACTGACGAAGACAAAGGGATGAGGTCATCACCATTACATCAGGTAAAGAAATACACGATACACGAAACCTACAGCATGACATCAACATTGATTTAAACAGGCGTTTTTTTCTGACACTCATTAATAATGGTTTTGTTTGCGTGTGCAGGCGTGTATATGACAGGGTTCGTGAGGCGTGGTCCAGTCGTCACACGTCAAGTCAAGAGAAAAAGTAAAAAGGTAACACTTATAATTGGACGAAAAGAAAACGCCAGTAGCAGCTCACCACAGGAGATGTATGGCTGTCAGATAGCAGGAGACAAACCAGAAAACATCAAAGCAAACATATCCACATTTTTGTCAACATAAAAAAAAGTTTAAAACCTAATCGACGACTCCGTTGTTCCAAAATACAATTTGTGGTGCTTGTATGAACTCCATCACATGAAAATGGTCGGAGACAAGTCTTCTGTGGGGAACGGTTAATCACTGATTTACAGCGACACTCTGTGTTGACCAAAGAGAAATCACAAGCCGGCTACAACACCAGAAGGGATTACATATATTCCAGGAAGTTCAAAAAGGAAAAGAGTCTAGAAGATGGGAAACACATTGTGACTGTTAATGAGGTTGTCTGAAAACGAATCAGAGGAGGACTTAAACAACGGAGGGTTATATGAGCTGGTTTGTTTTCAAATAAAACAAATAAGACCAACCTGAAACGCCCTAGCTGGGACTAATGTGGTTCACAGGTAATGGCAGCTATGAGAGGCAGCACGGACGTATTTGCAATCTCACACCTAGAAAATGCGTTAAAAAAAAACCACAAAAGGAATCGAGAATTTTACAGATAAAACAATGTTGTTTGGCGGTTTCAAATGCGTATGCAGACGTAAATATGTTCAGGTGGCTTTCCTAAAATCAACCCAGGTCTGCGTTATCCTGTATCCCACAAATCTAAAGAGCAAAACCAACGCAGGAGACGATGTGGTCATTCTAGTGAAACCAGGCTACAGGGGGTCCAGTTCTGTGATCAAACACACACACACCCACACTGAGCTGGCCTGTGTTACTGTGTTTTGGGGGCCAGGCATTTCTCTGGCCTGGCTGCCTAATGAGGGGCGACAGGTTCCGGATGTGAAGGCCAACTGATCCTCATCTGATCCCAGAGGAGGGGGGGCACTAACATATCAGCTGCCCCTGGACCACCCAGCGCACATGAACCAGGCAGAATGGGGCTCGGCACTGGACTTCCTCTATAGGCATATCCAACCTCATTCACTCAGACCTCTGCAGAGATATTTTGCTGCCACCATTTTCTGAAATTGGTGTGAGGAGGCATATAAATGTAATAGCGTAGAAGCAACCCAACACCCCAATGTCCAGTTTAACAGAAGTCGACGATAAATCATGTGTTTGCAATGCTGAAAAAATCAATCCTGTGTCCCTGACTGAGCCACTGCCTCCGACAGACATGCATTCTGGGTTCGAGCACGTCTCACGGGGGCCCTTATAAAACTCTATCCTTTATAACACCATACATTCCTGTCAAATGAAGCATGAAAATGCCTGAAAGATACATCGACCGGGGCTGAATACACAACATCTGTTGGCATGCGCCCCGAGAAGCGAGAAGATGACATGGCACTAAATATTAACGCTGTGTAAGCACAGAAGCCCCAGGCACGACCACAGTCGTAGAATCTACTCGTCGCTGAATCAACACAACCGATAACGCAAAAGCTAGGCCGACACCCGGACTAGGCCGACACCCGGACTAGGCCGACACCCGGACTAGGCCGACACCCGGACGAGGCCGACACCCGGACGAGGCCGACACCCGGACGAGGCCGACACCCGGACGAGGCCGACACCCGGACGAGGCCGACACCCAGACGAGGCCGACACCCAGACGAGGCCGACACCCAGACGAGGCCGACACCCAGACGAGGCCGACACCCAGACGAGGCCGACACCCAGACGAGGCCGACACCCAGACTAGGCCGACACCCAGACTAGGCCGACACCCAGACTAGGCCGACACCCAGACTAGGCCGACACCCAGACTAGGCCGACACCCAGACTAGGCAAACTGCAAGACGCGGCTATCGCACCACTAGGCTAAGCTAGCAGTCAGCACCAGACTGGACAGCAAGGAACAAGAGTGAGCCAGTATTCCACTAGTTTGTGGTAAAACAGCAAATATCAAGCAGACGTCATAATAAGCATCAAGCATTAGCCCCATTGAGAGTGAATCAGGACAGAAACAAGGGCAGCTTTTCAAGGATCTCATAAGCATCATGGTGATTGATGTGAACACATAGGGCTCCATATCAGACATTAAAAACAGTCACTCTCTATCCCAGACTAGGCCAACTCCCAGACTAGGATCTCATAAGCATCATGGTGATTGATGTGAACACTTAGGGCTCCATATCAGACATTAAAAACAGCCACTCTCTATCAGCTTTCATGTAATTATCAAAGGAGCAAAAAGATTTCCTATAAGATTATAGTCATTATGTTAATTAAACATGATACTGATCTAGCTCAATACAGCAATCACCCTGACGTCCCCATTCAACCAGCCAACTGTCCTATGACATAATAAAAAAAATATCAGTAAAGCACTTGAGACAAGTCAACCGCCAAATACAGTAACTAGTAAACAATAAGTGCAGGTCATTACTGCAATCCTGACAGCTCCCGCTAAATTCAAGGACCGGCATTAGTATATTAAATGAATCGTACTCTCTGATGTAAACTTGTAATTACCTCAGGTTAGGTTTGGTGTGGGCCGTGTGGGGGCATAGCAGCCCAGACAGTAGCGTGTGTGTGTGTTTGTGTGTGTGTGAGAATGTGAGCTATGAATGAGGTTTGGAGACTGGGCGACACTAATGCAAATCCGCAGGCGAGTGGCCCACTCCGCGTTGCAGCGAGTTTAGCGCCAGTCATCGACCCAACAACCAGCGGAACGTTCCGGATCCCCTTGATTACTCACTTCATCATTGGCATGTAATAACCCGCTTTAAGTGCGTTAAATTCAAACGTCCCATTTGTGTGGAAAAAGCATGTGGACAGAAATTAACAAGAAAAGAACGCAATGAACTCAGTTCAGCACTGATCTTATCCATATACAATAGTATTTAAAGACTAAAACATTACCAACAAAAATGTGATATTGCAGTGTTTTTAAAGACGTCTCATTCACTATGAAGTGAAGCCTGACTGATGTTTTCAGATTTACACTGACAGCTCCCACATCCTAACGGAACCAAACGGAACCAGAGAAGTGCTGAACCTACAATTGCTTTAGAAATACTGGCCAGTGCTTTGTTAGACTAGCCTTGTTATCTATCTCATCCATTATTAACAATGACCAGGGAAAACAGACATCTCAGGCTTCCTTATGGACCGCTCGGCCATATCATAGGGCCAAGTCAACTCGCCAACTGTCATCATTTACAAACAGCAAGATTTGCAGGAACCGAGTCAACTTCCAGAAGTACATGTGAATGACTGATCTACATACCACAGGCTCCCTGCCTGGTTCCCCTACAGCTCAACCAGAGCATCAGGAAACCCATACGACTATATTCCGTCCTCTACAGCTACACAGTAAGGTCCGCTGTTCCTCACACCACTCGTTAACCGTTCCCCCCCACTCGTACAGTATTAAATCTGGCAACTAGCCATGTCTGGCCGGGAGAGAACCTGACCCCTTGACCCTATTTCCTCTGTCGTTCTTCTTATAATCCCTGGAGGACTTATTTGATGGTAAAAGCTACAGATTGGTTTCACTACTGTCTTTCCCTTTCCAAAGAACTTAAATAAGCCGTTTCTGACCAGGAAATATTTTATATCTCTGTCAGAACCTCCTGGACTCTATCCATTCTTGCTTGCTTGTTTTTTGAACAAGTTGGTAGCTCAGTGGTAGAGTGCATGCTTCGTAAGTATGATGTCCTGGGTTTAATTCCCATATTCTCCCCAGGTCGCCGTTGTAAATGATAATTTGTTCTAGACCGTCTTCTCACTTCAGCTCTGTCAAATCCTCACATTGGCTTCCCTATTATTTCTCTTTGACATATGTGCTTGGATGTCATTTCACAATCTCAAGCTCAATCTTAAAAAACACTGAGTTGCACTTCCGCAGGGAGAATTCCTGTGCACTCTAAGATCTCGCCATCACAGTTTACAAGACAACACTTTCACCTAGTGTGCAAAGAACCTAGACGTGTCTGGTTTTTTTGCCTACCCACTTTTACAGGAGGTCAGCTCCCAATCAACATAATATTAGCTCTTTTTTTATCTTGGCACCCAATAGCGGAACTAGCTTCCCTTTAAACTCCAGTAAATTTACACCACTGTGTACTCAGATAGAAACCAATAGTGGGCGAAGGCAGTGGGTAAAAACAGAACAACCCAGGGTTAAAAATGACATAACATCCCTGAAAGCTTGAGGCCTTGAGGTGACTGCCAGGTCATGCTTGTGTGACAACTGGTCAGAGAAAGAGGCTTGCCTAAACACACCCAATGACACAAAACACGAGTAGACCCTTTGAAAGCCATCTTGAAGGAATGCACACAAGCATCTGCCGATCAGCAAAATAATTTCTCCTCCATTTTGTTTCCTCTCCCACACCTGCCATACGTCGAATATCAAAAATCCTTAACGGAAAGGAATAGACGCTTACTCATTTGTCGGTCCCCGTAGCTGATGGCTTCGGCAAGGGGACTCCACCCCTGAGCGTTCTTTACCTTCACCGGTGCATTGTGGGCCAGCAGCAGATGGGCACACTCTGTGAAAGAGTAGATAAAAAAAGAAGGAAATTGACTCAGCCGTCAATAGAGTGAGACGAAGCTAGTGGGAGAGCACTGTCTTCTGGTTTAATTGACAATCTGACGGTGGCTAATCTGATTTGAGTGTGGGCTCATTATAGGAGAGTGGGGTCAAAAGCATGGCAAAAACACAGACAAACAAACATCCTTAACAAGCATGTTCTGTGTAAACTTTTCTTCATCACCTAAAGCCTAATTAAAAAACACCTCCCTTCACATCAGCTCCTTGCTGTCATGACATGAGTATTTCATTCAAACGCCAGTAAGCTGCCCCCATTAAACAGACAAACGAGGACTCGAAAGCTAATTTTAATTCCAACTTGACACGATGTACACAGAGGAACAAGCACTAATTTGGACTTTTAACTACCATTCTCAGGGGGAAAGCTTCCGAAAATGGAAGTCAGTAATAGCTGCCGTGACACAAATGTACTGCTTCACAATGGTCTGTCTTGACTTCGGAACGAACTAAGGGAATTGTTATTGATTGGGACGAGGGCTTCCAGAATTCTCCTGCAAATTGCCATCGTTCATTCTTCATGAACTTCTGGTGTACTAATATGGCAGACAGTGCTCGTGTATGGTTGGATCCAAACTTAATGTCTGCCAGGTCACATAGAGTTGTGTTCCCCGGGTCAGGGGATTTAATGCATCTACACAGATGCCTCTGCATCACCTGGGACAGCAAAGGAGATCCCAGTTTGTCTACAGTCTTAACCACAAGGCTGGCAGAGATCAAAGCAACGCCTCGACACATGAGATGGCCAATTTGAAACTGACACCATTGTACTGTAACTGCAATCCGAGGAACAGTGATTGCAGGAAGCAGTTATACAAAGAAACCAAATATGCAGTTGTTTGATTTCATACATTATATGTTTGACTTCTACTCCAAATGAAGTAGCCGACTAACAACATGAATTAAATGACGTGGATTTGGTCTTTCAAAAAGGCAAAGGCACATTCTGATTAAACAGGTCAGGGAACAGCATCTTCAGTTGTGAACTCATTACAGCCATTTTGGCAAAGCATGTTGCTACTCCACCCAAATAGGGGGTAGTTACTAAGATCGTACAGGAATCAATATCTCCGACTCGAAGACCCCCTCATCTTCTATTCTGGTGGGGCCATTCTCACTACTTAATCCACTCACACAGATGAAAGGGTGCCTCTGAGAAAACATTTAACTGGCAGGTGACACTGGTTAGGAAAAGATGAACAGGAGGACTCCTGTAGGCATTTTTCCTTCATATCTGACCAGAAACAGATTGACTAGTGAGGTGAAAATGTACACAGAAAGCAGCCAGTACTGGCATGCAACAGACAGAAGGCAGTCAGTACTGGCATGCAACAGACAGAAGGCAGTCAGTACTGGCATGCAACAGACCGAAGGCAGTCAGTAATGGCATGCAACAGACCGAAAACAGTCAGTACTGGCATGCAACGGACAGAAGGCAGACAGTACTGGCATGCAACGGACAGAAGGCAGACAGTACTGGCATGCAAACTCAGATGTGCACATCAATAATAATGACCAAAGTGCACTTGCTCAGGTTTAACATGTTTTACCCCAGACAAAAACAGACTGGACCTATATTTGGAGTGGATTTAATAATACAACTCACTTGAAGTTCTGATAATAGCATGTGTTCATTTTGGGTCAGAGCTATAAGTTTGTAGCTCAATTAATTGCCACCGAAGACTGAAGAGATTCTCGCACATTCCACTGTTAGGCTCTTTCAGTGTACTGGTTTTGATGTTGAATAACACAGTAGGGTAATGCTTTGTGGCACCACAGGCTAATTCATCCAAAGCAAGGTGGAGGAACAGATTAAAGTATGGGACAAGCCATGGGAATATAATGACACTCTTGAAGCATGTAACCTCATCCGTTTAAAGTCAATTACTAGAAACATATTGGTCAAACAACTGTTATTTGTAATCTCTTGCTTGAAATCACCATAAACAATGCAAGGATGAAAACAAAAAGCATACATAAAGGAAGCTTTACTGCGGGGGCGGATGGGGGGATGGAGGGGGGCTTGAGCTCATCCACTTCCTGAGACTGGGCAGCATGTCAACAACAACCGCAACAAAGATCCAAAATGAAAACCGCTGTTTCTGTCGAGAAAACAGTGACGACACAAATGAACATGAGGGCCTCCATGCAAGTCTGTTTGAGTTTGCTGTATGCTTCACACCATCCTGCATGGGACAACACTGCATATAGGCTAGCCATATCAAGGGGCGAAACTGGACCATTTATCACTTCTTTATAGTTACATATGTATACACACTAGGATAACCAACTGATTGAATCCTCCAAAAAGCATCCAGTGTGACATCCAGGCTCCCTGGGCTCTAGTCCCTCCAGTTATGGGAGGGCAACTCTGGATAGTGTGCTGAAAAAAGGTTCTTAAATGAAACGTAAAATAGACCGTCCAACTGAAAAGTATTATGCCCACGTGTCAGGATGATCTGTGCCACGTTTTCCATTTCCATGTCAGCTGACCGGGAAAGGAAATCTAGATAAACCGAGTTCCTGGCCCCGGTCTCCGTGGTCCAAGCGGCTAAGTGAACGACTAGCATCCTACCCGAGCGACGTAAGCCAGCCAGCCAGCACTCAACTCTCTGGCCTATATTTCCCTGCATATTCTCTGATTGTGTAATAAGCACAGCATTTAGCGGAAATGCTTCATGTAAGCCTCAGCAACCAAAGACAGGCAAGGCAGGGCATGTCACTTTGGCAAAGCCCCAACTTAGACCAAGTGCTCGGCATTTTAGGGAATTTCTAACCAAACCAAGACAGCCCACAAGCTGTTGATTGCAACGAGAGGCTAGTGAAACGAAATGGTCATATCTGGTCCCATGTTGCATCAATAGAATAACTGACAGAATGTGGTTTTAATCTCGCTCTAGAGGCTGCCAATGGCCGGGGGAACCACCTGCTTTGGATTTATAAACCCGTACATTGGGAAGATCTGTAGTGTTGTTTAGGTGAGTTAGTCCAGCTGACAGAACCGATGTAGTGAAACATCAGGAAAAACCTGATGCCATCTCTCCATAAACTCTCGCCACTACAGCATTCATGATTCATGATTCCAACTCCTACACAACTGCAAATGAGCCTTCAGATATGGGGCCCGCAGTTTTAATTCATTTTATACACCTAATTAAGTAGCATAAAAAGCAATACTGCCTCAAATTGCCGGGTAATTTCCCAGAGCCTGCCTCTACAGTTAAACCCATTACATATACAGACGTCAGCTGTAAGCGAATTGATGAAAGTCCCAATGGATGGTTTCTCGGCGCATACAGAGGCACAACAAACCCAGTGTAAAGAGCAGGAACAGGACTGGATGAGTTGTACTTAATTGGATGGCGCTTGTCAGAAACACCCAGAGCTGTACAGTTCAGGCTCATCCAGACTACAGACAGGCAAATCCCCAAACACCTTACTGTCTGTCACTCCCCTGTCCGTCACCCTTCCACTCAATCGCTTCTTACATGAGAGATATTAATATCCCACTGTTCAACTCTTTGTTATGCATATCTTATTATATGCCGTATATAAGTGTTATGTAAAACGCTTTCTGATATGGGGAGGATGAGAAATATTTCTCTGACTTGTGAAAACATTGCTTGTTTAGGATGTATATAGAATTGTGCATCCGTGTGCTACAACGTACAGGTGCAAGCACTACCTGCTACCTCAGGACCATAACCACAACATGTTATCCTGAATCTCACAAATCCATCTGAGGGTGACTGTCGTTTTGACTCTCTGGGACAGCAAAGCCCTACTGGACAGGAAGCAAAACAGGGAGATATAGCAAACAGTGTCCTAACAGCTGGGGCAAATGTGCAGGCAGTCCAGTGTTCTGTTTATGTGGGGCAAATAGGGAGATTATCCAAAACGTTCAGTATCCCTGTGGCCATTGAGGATTAAAACAAAGGAACCGTGAATGCCAGTTTCGAAAGAAACATCTGCTATGGATCGACTGCCCAAATGAGGGCTTGTCTGACAAATCAGACTCTCCGGGCATAATCAACGCCCGATATCAAACATGTACCCCCTAGGCCCTCTTACCAAGGACTTTCTTTAGTGTACATCTTGATTCATGATTCCATTGTAAAGGAGAGAGAGGT